GTGAATTTTCTTACGGATCCCATGCCATTTAATGCTATTTTTGCTTTATCGAATCCCACTTTTCTCGAAATTTAATAATAAGCTTCCAAAATGTTGGACGACTATGCCCGATTAAATGCGCAAACCTATTGTTCCAGCGTTCACAAATATTATTTGTACGGTGTCTGGAGTGTAATGTAGTCTCGTGTACATTCCATGTTTAAGGTGGATACAATGGCTTATTTTGTCTGAATGAAAATGAAAATGTAATAAAATATTTTAATTATATTTTCGGACTTTTTGTCTGACAGTAAAAATGTGCTTAGGCTTTTTGTCCGACATTAAAAAAAATGAATCTGGACATTTTGTTCATTTTTTTTCAAAATGGACTTTTTTACCGATTACCATTTCAATTCAGAAAAAAAAAACTAAAGAAGTGCACCTAAAAATTAAAATAAAGCTCTAAAATCCAAAAAAATGACGTATGGYGAAAGGTCGACCAGAAATGACTGAAAGGTACCTACTTTTATCGATAAATCTAAAATTTAATCAAAGATTAACAGGATAATATCGATTGATCCATGTCTTGGGAACACATTGAAAGAACTATTTTTAAGGGGTCGGATTTAGGCAATATGCTATACCTTAACATTTATATTATAATTATGCATTACAGTTTATAATATAAAGTAGGTAAATAAAAAACCGAAAAAGAATTAAAAGTATATTTACTTTTAAATAGGAAGTAGAAATTAAATTTATAGTTGGCWCTGCTTCATTTTGAAACAATAGGTTTAATAAAACAATTGCCTTCAAAATCCATACCAACTATAACTATTATAGTATTATTTTGTTTCCAATGTACCTACTACCTAGTACCTGTCTACTTACTTAATTATTAGTAATAACTTTATAAATTAAGAACAATTTACGTGTTGAAAGTACAAATGTCTATTGATAAATGACTGTACATATGAAAATATTTTTTTAATTGTTATAGATTAAAAAAAAATAATACCTACTTGGCTAATGGCTATATCTACCTTTTCTGGTATACCTACTTATATTGGAATTGGAATTTACCTACCCATTAAGCACTAATAATACTAAAATATAAGTAACATAAAAAGATCCATTAAATTGTATGATCTACCCATTCAACATTCATAAGAAATGCTTATAATTTAAATAACATTGTGTACAATTTCAAATTAAAATTAACCTACCAAAACCAAAAGATTATAAACAATTTGCTTATAAATATCAAAATATAATTATTACATTAAAAATTAAACTAAATTACACACTAAATATTTATTTCAATAGGTACGAAAGCACAATTGCAGCTCAATTTTTTGGTCATACCCATTTTGATGAATTCGAACTGTTCTATGATACGCAAGATCTTGGTAGACCAGTAAGCATAGCRTATGTTGGTCCTTCTGTCACTCCATACTATGATCTCAATCCAGGTTACAGAATATATTATGTAGATGGTGATAGAGAGCATTCAACTAGAGTAATAAAATTTAAATTATCCAACTAACAAGTGCTAAGTGAACATAATATTTACTTATCTATCTGCAGGCAGTGCTAGACCATGAAACATGGGTAATGAATTTGAAAGAAGCTAATTTATATGACTATCCGATCTGGCAAAAATTATATTCTACACAAACGGCTTATAGTCTACCTTCATTGAGGCCCGAGGACTGGGATGTGTTTGTTAATAATTTAGCTGAAGATCAAACTTTATTTGATCTATATTACAAGTAACATTACACTGAAATAAATAATCATAAAGTGAAATATAAAATTTGTTAATGATTTTCACAGGCATTACTGGAAAAACTCTCCAACAAGACCTGCATGTGATGCAGAGTGCAAAAAACGTATGATATGTGATCTCAGATCAGGCCGTTCGCATGATCGAAAGATCTTATGTCAAGAAATTGAATCACGTATTGATGCCGGTTCACGAATTAGTTGGAGTGCGTGGCTATACAATGGGTTCACTGCATCGTATGTTTCTCTAATATCTATAAAATATTATTGGGTGCCTGCTATAGTTCCATACATGCCAGTCAATACAACACAGGGCTTGATCTTACGACTAATGCTATACTAACCGCTATACCTGCTTTTTAATAACTTAACACAAAAAGAAAAAATAATAATATTTTCATTTTTACTATTTCTAAGAGTGACAATGATCTAGATTCTAAGGTGACGGTCATCTGTAACTATCACTGTATATTCACCTACAGCAATCTTCTATTTATTGGTGAGTGGGTTAATTTTAGTACCTTATATAAATACTTTTATAGAAAATATTATGACAAAATAGATGAGAAACAATTTTAATTACAATACTACTAATTAAAATGTTAATATTTTACAAACTCTCATAATCTTTTGAAACAATATTAGATACCTACATACCATTTTTTTTTTTTTTTTAAATGACAGTTCAATTTTATTTTATCTTTTCAGCAATATTTAATAAATAGCTAGATAAGAAATTTGATCAATTTCATTAAACATTATACATACAAATAGCTTTAAAAAAAACCAAATTAACATTTTTTGTAAGTTCTGACTAAAATATAAGAATAAAATAATTTTTATTTGATTTAAAAAACAAATATATTTAACTGAAAACTGTAACTTTCAATATTATTGTATAAAAAATGATAAACGAATTCAGTTTTGTCTTAAAAATTAGAATATCATTCCCATACACAGCCTGTTCCAGTCCCACACAATTAAGTTATTATTAATTATTTAAAAATACAGTTTAATGTTCGATCCAAGAGATAAATAAATAGCATAGAATAATATGAAACAAATAAATCAATCAATAAATCATTTACTGAACAATCGGCTACAGTTCTGGAACTTACTGTATTTGACTGTTACTTAATAGTTATATTAATTATTGAATACTGTATAGTAGTTTTATTTGTGCTTGCCACATGTTCAATTAAAAAACAATTTAATAGACAAAATGAATAGCACAGTAGGTGGCATGTACAAAACAATAATTCAATATTACAATAAGCAACATCTATTCATTTACTACTTTATTTAAACTGTTAAATTAATATGCAAATTGTGTTATTATTAGGATGTCTGTTATCATGTCCATACCTCGCTACACATACCAGATACCTAAATACCTACTAGGATATACAAGGTGAGCAGAATTGTGAAGCAATGTGAAATAACAATTTAACGGAGTACAAACTACAGCCACGATCAGATCAAATAGGTTGGATGACAAAACATTTATTCTGAAACATTTGCTCATTACAACGATCAAACTAAAGTGATGTGATTAAAAGTAGGTTGCTTTTACATTTAGAGAATAATCAAACAACATACGGCCATGGGCCATAATATGGATTTAAATATACATACACACAAACACACGCTAATACGTATGTGCAAGTATGTTTGCGTATAAATTATTGACATACATTTTTACCAGCATTATCATGTTATATACAACTATTAATGTAAACATATTTATTAATTATGTGCTAAAAAGTCTGTTGATGGATACTATTTATTATATATAGAATTTTAAATTAGGAAAATAAAATAATTTAGTTGTAAATAAATAAAAAGATTATAAAAATTTTTTTTTTTTACTTTTTTGATTATTGAGGAGATTTTTTACTTTTTTAAATATTATGTTCTATTAATTACTAAATCAACCAAAGACAAACTTAAATTATTTTGATTACAACTTAAATTTACAGATCATTAGATTTCAAGTTCCTGCTTAATGTTATTTCTACCCATACTAAAATCCAAATAATATTACTAAGGTGTGCTAAATAATATTTTCAATTTAAGATGAAACATGTTATAAATAAAATAACATATTTATTTCCAAAAATAATTGTAGTGGCAGTGAATACAATTATTTTATAAATAATAGCATTTAGAATAAAAATAAWAAGTAGTAAACAATAAAATATCAATTAATTTTTATTTCAAATTAATTTAATATTTTTTTATGTATGTACAATTTTCTTATTTTATAAAAATAAATTTAAGTAAATCAAACTATAAGTACATACAATTGTTTGTATTACTTAACTATTAAGAACTAGGTATACAAAAGATTGACAGTATAAAAAAAATTGAGCAGAGGAATGTTTCATCAAGTACATATTTATAAAATATAAAAGGTATTCAATTCATAATGAAATAATTCAGGTTAGTAAAAACCATATGGCAAATAAACAAAGTGATTAATAATACAAAATTAAATTAAATGAGATTCAAGTGTAAAATTAAGTCATGAAAATCAAAAAATTGTACCCGTAAAGTTGTAAAATATGGGAACACAAATTAAATTATATTACAATACATTAATTATTATTAAAAAATCACTTTACGTAAATATAAAAACCTAATTCAAAATAAAAAAGATACAAAAATTAAGTAGAACTGTTAATTGTATATTTAAAAATATAAAAACAAAGTACTTAAAAAATAATTAGAGAGCTAAGCTTCTTCGATTTGTACATGAGTTTTCAACTAACACTATTTTCTTATAATAGTATACAGATACATGTTATGACAATAAGCCATTGGTAACATTACTTTTTAAGTTCAGTCGATTGAAAATTTAATTATAAATCTTATATGTAATCATTTCCTTTTTTTTTCTGTATATATTAATATTTTGAGCAAATAATTTCAATTATCGACTTGAAAAATAATAATTATGTGAAATAAATTAAAGTTACATAATTAAAATTCAAAAAAAAAAAAATTATAATTATAAACAAGTAACTATCTAAAAACCGAATTGGTCAGGACATTAAAAAAAAAAATTTATTATATTAATAACAACAACATAAAAAAAAATTATGATTTTCATACTGATACTAATACATTTTTAATAAAAGGCATACAACTCCTAATGTTTAGGTAACATTTTAAGACACTACGTTGAGAGGTAAAATGTTTTGATAAAATTTACATTTACTTACAATCTTCGCAAGTTACGTTTCCTTCTGCTTAAATTATATACCATTGGACGACAGTTATATGATGACATTGATAAAATTGGTATAGATAAACATTTGTGATCAAATGTGTTAGAATATTCACACTTACACTCAGTGCAAAAGATAAATTTACAATGAAAACCTTTACATTCAGCTCGAGTTGATTGGGAGGGTGACCATGATGCTGGTCTTGAACACCGTGGACATGGCACCAATTGCTGATCTGAACTTAATTTTTTGGCTTCCTAAATTAAAAATGTTCAAAGTCAATATTACATTATCTATATATAATTTATTATTTTTGAAAAAAACWTAATTTAAATAAATATAAGTGTCAATATAGAACAGACCAATCTAATAATTTTTCAAATTACAAAATTAATCTTTAAACGAAGTTAACATTCATAAACTCATAAATATTGTTGGTCAATTGAACTATGATCAACTACAAATATAAATACAATTTAACTTACTTTTTGAAATACATGGAACCTATATTTGCTCGGACTTACAGGTGGACTTCTTTGAGGTAATTCTTTTTTTGACGGAGAACACATAACATTGCTAATGTTTGCTAGACATCCTTTGTTATTAAATGCTGAACGGTCTCGGCCAACATGTCCACATCGATTTTCTTTGGATAATTTAAAATACTTTTGTTTTTTTTTTTGAGCAATTGGGGAATTTTCAACAGCAGTAGACCAAATTTTAGATACCATAGACATGGACAGAATATCACTACCGGATAAAAAAGATAATATTTTTTCTATGACTGGTTGAAAATGATAACGCTCCGATAGAAAATACATTATATCAACTTTTTCACGGCCTTCTATAGAGTTACGTTCATAGTTTACATTTTTTGGTAAAATGTAGTTTTTTCTTTTTAAGAACTGACTGTCATCATTGTTTGAACTATCATTTAAGCGAACACTAAATTGTGCGTCAGAGCACAATTTAAATTTTTTTGTAGGAGACTCGACTGTATTGGTAATATCTTCTAATTTACGATGGTTTTTGTCTAGGGTTGGTGAAGATAGTTGAAGTGAATCAATATCTGATGGTGTGTGATCAAATGAAATAGACACTTCAGATATCTGACTTAGGTTAGAGGAAACATTATAACTTGGAGTATTGTAACCACTGTCATCTATGCTTTTGTAAGGTGTTGAAGTAATTACTAATGATTTATTGTAATAAGGAGATTCTTTTAGAGATATGTCTGCCATTGTTTCCTTTTTGATTATCTAGAAAAAATTTTAATTAGAATTAAAAAAATAAAGGTATGTGCTTAAATATACAAAATAATTAGATACATGTGAAATCGAAACACTAAATACATTATTTAGGGCTCAGGTAAATAATTAATTCAACTAAAATGTAACTGCGATAATGCTTAATATTCTGATTACTTATAATTAGCTGTCTTATTTGTACCTTTTACTCTTTATTTTTCATAATTAACAACGTCTAAAGGTATTTACAAAACCCATATTTTTAAAGTTTGCTAAAAAGTTAAATAATTAATGAATAAATTTGTACTGTCTAAGTTAAACAGGTACTTCAATCAATTTAAATAAATGCCAATGAAATTTGTGTATTCAACAATCATAATTTGACCTTAGTCTATTTCCACTTAGGTTAATGTTAATGTATCATACCTACCTATGTATCTATTAAAAAAGAACAAATCAAAAACAATATACAAAAATTAGGAATTAAAAATACTAAAGAAATTTATTTTATATATTTACTAAAATAGTTACATAATAAAATAAAAGGTAACCTAATGTTATCATCAATTCATTACAATCATACCGATATGTGTAGCTAGAATATTGTTATTAACATTTTATCTTATTCTTTGAAATAAAATTCAAAATACAAATTAAACTCAACTCATTCAATCAGTTAAGAATAATTAAGTGGTATTCATTCAAATCTTGGTGTACAACTATATAAGCCTAACATTAGGGTCAAATTATTATCACCTGAACTATAAGGAACATCAATGGTTGTTAGTTGTACCGAAAAATACGTTAATTTACATTGTCCTAATGTCTAGAGAAGGAAAAAATAGAAATAATGATAATACTAATGTGTTCAAATTATTGGCACCTACTCGAACAAAAAATAAATGGTTATTATTAAATGACTTTGAGTTCATATGTAGGTAAACATACAATTGAATTAGTTACGAGATTATATTTTATATATTAAAATGTAAATTATGTTAAAATTAACAAAATAACAATAAATAGTGTGGCATGAAGAAAAACATGTCAAAATATTAAGTAGGTAATTTAATAAAAATATTTTTAAAACGAATATTTAGGTACCTACCATTAAATTACATTACATAAATAGCAATTAATTACTGGATTAAAAAACTGTATTCTTATAAACATTAGGTAGGTTTAAAAAAATAATAGGTAATTAATGTTTGGTTATGAATAATTATGCTACATTAATTATAATTAGGTACATTTCGTCCAAGAAACCCATATCTAAGTTAAGTTATGACCTAATATAGAATGCCAGAAAACGAGATTATTTATTATTTAAAAATAGGTAAGAGAAAAAAGAATAATATTTTGTAAACCACAAATCCGATCGCTTTTGCAGCATCAAAAAACGAATATGAACGATCGGTGAGAAAATCGTCACCGCAAAAACGCGATGAAAAAAATTTGGCGGCAAGTACACGGACAAAGGTAAGTACCATTATCATCGTAACGGACGCGTCGAGCAGAAATCGAACGGCGATCGACGAGCCGAAACCTTGTAGGATGTGTTTAATAATAATAATTATGATTTTGGATATCAAAGTATTAATCCACTAGTCGTAAGTAGGTAGGTAGGTACTATGAAATTGCTGTCAAACCCTAACGGATGTGAAAACCAAAGAGTCTGCGGTAAGATCCGCAAAATCTCAAGCGCGACAGCATCCCTGTTCGAGCATGTTCGCGACCCACTTATTTGGAGAACAGTGTCCTCAGATTTGGCGCGCTCGACCGTTTCCAATATTCCAACATTAATTGGTTTTGTCCAGCGCGAAAAACAACTACAAACCCCCAAGGTGGGCTATCATCGCAGACTTAACGTCGTACACATTTAAACGTGACAATACGCACACAGGCTAGTGTAATTATTGTTAATTGTTGATTTCGCGACAAATGGACGGCGAAGGTCAAACGCACGACTATCGAGCACCCCTAACGACGCTCAATTACGCTAATTAGCAGCGGTACGTTTTGTGTGCATCGTTATTGCCCATTAACTAACTACTACGGCATGAGCACCGATTAAACAATAATTAGTCGTCGTTGTATATTAGTTATCATAACTTTACCTGTTCCGGTCGTCAGGCGAGTTCTAAGATGGTCGATGAGACGCGAAACGTCCCTCTGACGAAGTTTTCACTCGCGTAATATACACGACGGTTTTCGGTGGGTCACGCCGACGATTTACGTCCTTCTGGCGTGGGATCGCAGCGGCGGCGGCACATGATGCGTCGTTAAGTCGATAATACTGCTGGACGAGACGACAATTCTTCCGCGGCAACAAACYGAATTTTATCACTACTCACTAGGAATGCCGGACCGGATTGTCGGTTAGGATTCGAAACTCGGTCTCGGCTGACGGGAACCGGAGAACATGTGTACCGTGCCGTTAGCGCGCGTGGTGGGGTGGACAGGCGGACGGGCGGGAACAAGGTAACAGCCGGCCGGTCGGCCAATGGGAGGCTGCGGATGCGGCGGTGGCTACGACGGCGGCGGCAACCGGACACGAACAGAGCCGAACGATCAAAAATGTACACAACAACATGCTCGGCCGAAACTCGATGAGAAAAGAAAGAAAAAAAAAATTCCAATTCCAAATAATCCAAACGCGTTTTCTGTGATTCATGTGATTGTATCATTACTCTGTGGATTGTATAGCCATAGTGCGTAGTGTGTACTGTGTATACTGTAGCTCTGTAGTAGTGTAGACTAGACTGTAGAAGTGTAGATCGTCCAGAGTTACGACGACCGGTTGACCGCCTTGTTAGTCGTTACTCGTAGTCGTAGGGCACTTATACTTGGTAGTTGACTATTGTGTAAAATACTGAATGGATATTGGCCGGTCGACTGAGAAGAGTATTCGTACGAAATCATAATTCGTAGAAAAACAGATCCAATAACAATATCTAGTCCGATGTGTGCAGAACATAATATTTTGCATTTTTGCAAAATTCGTTTGTATTTTCATCCTTCGCATTGTTTAATAGCCGGCGCCCCCTCCCTGGGAGGGTAGACTGGTACGACCACTACGACCACACACAACCCGACACGAATTGCATCCTATTGTGATAGTTTTAAAATTGTTGTGTCGTTAACGGCCTTTCACAATTCGAAAATTTAAGTAGTAACGTAACTCGTGACTATAGCAACCAAGTTACTTTTATTAGTAGAAAGCTACTATGGTATTCACCGAATTTCTGGTATTATGTATACGCAAAAAGGAGGATTTGGATTYCATAATATTAAAAACTAAAAATCAAAGATATTGTTGTATCTAATTTTATTAGTGGGTACCTAAACTTCAACACTGTCTTGTTGGAAATTATACATTACTGCGATAGCATGAAATGCGATTTGTTTAAATTTCAAACAATTTTCTTGGTGTAATTTTACGCCGGGTTATTCCCGCACAACACTTCGTCGTATAAATTAAATATAGACGCATAATGTAAATTAATAAATGTGTGCTGATAATAATATCATTATTATTATTATCATTATTATTGAGGAATATCGAGATCAACGTTTTTAGTTTTTTACAATAATTTGCTATTTCCGTCAGTTTTCCACATTCCACAATATTATAGGATAGGATAATATAGATAATAGTAATAAAAATAAAAATAGTAATAATAATAAAAATAATATAATATATAATATATTATAATATAGGATCGCGTGTCAGTGCGTACCACCTATGTAGATTGTAGGTAGATACATAAATATTCTAAACCGCTGTATAAAAGCCATAAAAATATCAGAGTGTTCATCAGCATCCCGAGTACTATTAAATCAATTGCGTTTGTTCGAGCTCACAATATAATTATATTTACGCGCGTAGAGAATCTTTGCCGTATTGGTTCTCAAAGTAGCAAGATTGCAGAGACCCGTATACTATATACATAATTATTTAATGTTATGTATTATGCTATTATAAAAATAATTATTGTAATGCAAAGCGCGCGAGGCGGGTTTATCGTTTTGAGACCATAAATAAAATAACGCATACCACGGCATTTACGTGTTGCAGGTCGCATATTATTATAGTGCGTAYGAGACAAATTTGAATTAAAATAACGTATGGCGGTCGAAACGGCTGAATAGACCAAACGAGTGCCCGGCATAAATTAAACGCCGTCCCCACTCCCCTGTCTGCCAACCATTCGATTACTGTGCGTCTGTCGTCTGTGCAGAAGGTATCCTCAATTTCTCTTCAATCGTAAACGRCTGAACGATTTTGCTCCCACGACCCTTTTCAAATAAACTCAAGAACGACAACAATTATAAGTCAATATTATTGTTTATTATTACGCCGCTTTTAACGTTAGCAGTTCAGCAGTTGTCTCTTGTAGATCACGAAAACAATGCAACCGGATTATAGTGCCTAAGAAATACTATAGAGATAATATTATGTAATAATACATGATATACACTGTATATATTAATACATTTAATCATTTATCTGACATTTGTGTTATATATATTGGCCATATAGGTATGACTTATCGACACGCAATTAACAACAATATCATGTTTATTGTTTATACCTATGTAGGTAATAAATAGGTACCTATACGATTTATTTAGTTACACATTTAATAATATTGTGAATTATAAATGCTTAAATGTTTTCAAATAAAAAAAGCGGGAAATTGGATATCGCTCTGCTATACAGTAGGTTACAAGTGGCCAAGTAGGTTGCTGACTGCTGTAATGGGTGGAATTAAATTTATTAAAAATATTTCGGGCGCAAATGAGTTATAAAAAAGGTATGATGAGTGCAAATAGTTTGCACCGAATCCAATGATATCATATCATTGGATACGAAAAACGATTCTGAGCGGAGACGGTTTATCTGACTAGAATATATTATAGATTATTAAAAATTTATAAATCTTAGATTTAAAAAGAAAATTTTTTATGAATTTCTAGCTTAAAATAATTTGCGAATTTTTGTTATTTTTAAGTATTTTGTCAAAATTCTAACTTTGAATGCTTATAAAAATAAGTTGTGACTATGAATTTCTTTCAACTGCTATTGTAACAATATGTTAGGAGCCTTGTATTAAATTTTCAAGCTTTTCTACACAACAAATACATTTTTAACGATATTAATTTTAAAAAAACTAATAATGATCGAAAATTGCATATGCCTATAAATAGTTCAACTAAAGTCGATTTTTTTTAAAAATTGCATGGTGGATAGAATATATTTATATACACATTCGGAGAAAATTTCATGTATCTATACTCATTTGTTTTAAAGTTACATCAAAAACCAAAATCGATTTTGTCGAAAACTGATTGTGAGTAAAATTTCCCATTTTCCCTAAATTTTTAGTTTGTTTATCCCGATTATTTAGAAAAATATTGAGAATTTTTAACTTTTCACTCCAAAACTACCAACTAGATTCACTTTCTGATCTAACAAGGTGCTGAAGTCGAAAATCGAAGCATTTTTATCTCTACAAAACGTGATGACAGACACAAAAAAAAATACACATCATGATAAAATCAATACATTCCTYGCTCCGCTMAGAATCTAAAATTTAATCGCACGAATCTGAACAAATAATATATTTACATAACTGTACAACTATTTACAAATAAGAATAATATTTCAGTAGATACTCGTCAATCGTTTAGGAAAACGATCATATTGTTCACTGAAAATATTATGAAAATTAAATTAAATGTATTTTATATTGTTATAGAAATAGC